ATCCTTCTTTTTGCTTATTTCAGCAGCTGTTCAAGCAGCTTGATAACTGATAATTTATGAATATCAAATTTCACTGTTTTACTGTAGGGCATTGGACCAAGAGTTCTGTGGATAGGCATTGGTGGTTCGATATTCTTTGGCGTCCTAGAGAGCACGAAGAGATTCCTAGCTGAGAGGCATCCTAATAGTCATCCGGAATCTAACTCAAAGCAGGAATAGATACTTCTAAATATTCCAAGGGTTATGCACCCAAATAGTGACCACATAGGATTTTGCAGTTGAGAAATGAATAATTCTGCTATTCCTGAAATATATTTTGTAAGCCATATGGGATTCATAAATGGATAAAGCGTTCTGTCCATACTCTAGATTTTTGCAAATATCTTGTTTTTGCAAACTAGTTATGGTCTAGGTTTTTGAGTGTTCTCAATATGTTTCAAAAGGAATATATGTTCTTGTACCAACATTTGAGTGTTTATCCGAAGTTGTGACACCCTCGTGCCAATGGAGAAAGAGATTACATACGCTCTTTCTTCCCAAAAGCAATGAGGATTGATAGTTGCACTTAGAGGTGGCGGCTTGGACATTTCCAGGGTTCATTTTTCTACGAGGTGGAGCCATGTAAAAAAGTTTCAGTGGACGACCCCAGCATAGAAAAGAACATACGAGAAATGAAGGGCGAAGACTTGGAGCATAACATACTTTATTGATTTTCTCGAAAGGAAAAATTAGGTGCTTCTCAACATTTTAGGTATTGTAAAACGGTTATCCAATATTTAAAAGTGAGGTTTTGACTCCCAACCTATTCAACGTTGTGAGATTAGATTCTCGCGTAACGAAAAGTATTAGTTTGATCAATAAAAGTCAAACTTCGTACTAAAAAGGCCGTGATGCCCTTGCTTTCTTCTATTTCTTTTTATATTTACTTCTTTTTTTATTCTAAACAAGGGTAACATGATGTTTTCAATACAAAGTTTGACTTTTAACGTTCAAATTAATACTTCCACTACTCGAGAATCTAATCTCACAACCTTTAATAGGGTGCGGAATCAAAATCTCACTCTAAATATTGGATAGCCATTTTCACACTATCTGAAAGGTTGGATAGTCGAATTCTATTTTTTTTTCCAAACGTGAAAGAGTCTCAATTGACCGATTACACTAGTGGGTTTCAACTTGAGTCCTCAACGTCTCAGACCATCTTGAATATGGCATTTACATGTTCCAATTAAATTTATATCACGTGTATTTTTTTTTCATTCTAGACCTTTTTTCGTATGGATAAACTCACTATGTAGCGAAAAGGTGTTTCACGGGCTAGAATTAGAAAAAAAGGAAATGTATAGTCCATTCAGTTTCACATAAGCATGACTCGGAAGAGAATAAAATGATAACAAATGTTTTGGGCGTATGTTTCATTGTCAAAACTTATTATAACTCTGAGCAATCATTATGTTAGAAAAATAACTCAAATGACATATAATGGCAAACATGGAATCATAACTTGTGACTTTGATGCATATTCGGGGTCCATTTGTGACTTCCGTTCCTCGTAAAAGAGTTCTCAAAAAAAAAAAAATTTATTTTGGCCTAACTTTTTTAAAAGCTAACGAAATATTTCTAGAAATTATTTAATCATGTTCACAAGCAGTTTTTGACTTTTTAAACACAACTTCCAATTTTTCAAAAACTCCGCCAAACTGGCTCTCAATTTCTTTACTGAGTTTTACTACACAAACATAATGTTTGATATAGGGGATGCCACCACACACACATGAGGAGGTCGTCATTATTTAATTCAGGTCGGAACCCACATGCAATGTGAGATGTCGGTCAACCCCTATATCAAGTATTATGTTTATTTAGCTTAATTCATCTTTACTTAAGTCCCACATAAAAGAATCATACTATGTGGACAAACTAGGTTGACAAAACTTGGTTTACAAACTACGTGTTGGCGACATCTAGACCAATCATTTCAAAAACCGTTCTTGAAATGAATTAAAATGGACGGTCTAAATCTTGCCAACGCTTAGATCATAAACAAACTTTTTAGACTTATTTGATCCTAATGATGCCAAAAATTAAATGAGTTTTGATTTTGTTAATGATCCAATGATTTGCTAGCATTTTCAATTGTAGGGTATCATTATTTTTAACATTATAAAAAGAAAGTGTAAGAGAAACCTATGATTAAAAGCTTTAATTCTAAAACGCGTCCGAAATAAAACGCTCCGACGATAATGGATAGTGAGAATTGATTGCTAGTAAATTTATTCACGAAATTAAAGTAGAGACGTGATGGGATTCTACATAAGCAGTGACATGATGCTCACCTAAGCGTCTAGTAATTATATTATTCTACATAATAAAGTTCTGTTCGATACACATTCTTTCAAAATATATTATTTCAAAACTCATTTTCAATCACATATTCTTCAATAAAATAATATTTTTCATCACTTCTATAACTTTTCCTTATTTTTTAACTACATATTTCTTTTCGTATCATTATTTAAAATACATTATTTCCTCAATAATATCCATCAAACACACAATAAATAAGTTTCTGCAAATAATTAAGAAAGGAAAAACGGGACATATATATATTTTTTTCTTTTTATGCGCATGTTGAGGAAGTTTTTACTTTTCGTAATCAATTTGAATTATAAGTAGACATAAATAAAGAGAATAAGTGAATAACATTTATAAATTTTACGAAATGTACGGATAAATATTTGTTTTGATAAAAAATATTTATAAATTAAACACTTGCCAAACAAGTATAATTAAAAGCAATACATTTGGTACTCTTAGTACATTTTTGGCCCATATATTTTGTAAAAACTCATTCTTCTTGATTGTGACGACATTGAAATGTTCAATCTAAGTATAAGGAATTGGATACATCTTGAGTTGTTAACATTATAAGTGGAGTAGTCTAATTCCTCATGAGATCTTCATCAACTTTTAATCGAAGTAGGACTTTGTTCACACACTCCTAACACCAAGATGCATGGTTTTAAATTTACAAAAAAAAAAAAGAAATATTTATTACTTAATAGTAACGAGGTTTGATTATTACAAATCACATGAAACTGAATCAACTGATGGAAATATATGCCCTAGTTTGAGTCCTATTTTTTCAAAACTCATTTTTCTTAAAACTTATTTTCAATAAAAAATTCTTCAAATAAAATAATTTTACACGTAAATTCAAAACTTTTCTTTAATTTTTAATCACACATTCTCTAAAAACCCAATATTCCAATATCCATTAACACAAAAAAAGAGGCTCAAACAAGAACATAAATGTATGGGAACATTACATACATAAGGTATTTGCAAAAATACAATTTCAAAATTAAGAAATTAGGTTCATTATTTCAAAAACCAAGTTAATTAAATAATTAATTTAAAAAATATTTTATTAATTAAATATATTACAGTCACAGTATTTCACAATTATGTACTAGTCATAATTATAGACGTCATAATCACAAATCACAAATTTTATAAGTCACAAATTATTTCTCGATCACGTATTATTTTTCGATCACAAATCACAAATTTTATAGGTCACATTTTTTTATCACTCGTACATTATCAAATTAATAAGTAATGAATTATTTTTCGATTATAAATCACAAATTTTATAGGTCACAATTTCTTTATCGATCACATATTCTCAAATTAATAGGTTACATTATTTTTCGGTCATAAATAACAAATTTTATAAATCATAACTTATTTCAAGGTCACAAATTATTAAATTAATTGGTTACAACTTAAAAAATTGTGAGTCACGATTGCAAATTTAATCGAAATTTCATATTCTTTAGGTTACATGTTATTTATGGTCATAATTAACCAAATAATTGGTTACAAGCAATCTTTTTTCCTGCCCCATCTCCCACCATTCGCCTTTACCATGTGCAATGCTCCACCACCATTGTTACCTACACCACAAACCAGCACTACTACAACTTCAGATGCATCACCATCGCCACCAATTGGAAGGTACCACAACCATCACCTCCACCATAATGACCACCACCTATACCTCGATCTACAACCATCGAACAATCTACCACTAACACCTCTACATCAAATCCAAACCTAACATCACTAGAAATAAGGCAAAAATAAAAATGTAGAAAGAAATATAAAATGGACATGATGGTATTGCAACGCCACAACCTCAATGTGACTAGAACTACCCGTTGTCGGAGGAAGGAGGACAACCTCAAAAACAAGCTCAATATGACCAGAACAACCTCAAGAATAAAAATGTAGAAAGAACCATCGTTGCTAGAGGAAGGAGGAGTGACTAGAGCTACCCATCGTCGCCGCCACTTCACCATCTCATCACCTCTATCCATTTCCACACCACAACTCTCATATATCATACAATTGCCTCCTTGTTATGGAAATTCCTGAATCACCACCACCAAATTCCTCATCATGCTGGTTGTCTGGAGTACGAAGCAGCGGTGATGAGCATTGCATCGCCTAGCGCGCAGCAACGACGACATCATCATTGCAAGCTTTCACGCCATGAGCAACGGCGCTCATCGTTGATGCACGTGACGATGTTCTCCATCGTGGTGTAGCGTTGATGGAGAAAGAATTGAGGGGGAGAGAGAATAGGGAATAGATAGAGAGAGAATGGAGACGATAAGGTTTTGTTGAAGATATGGAAAGAATAATCTCTATGATATTTTTCGAATATTGTAGGATTATTTTTCTTAATAGTTGATCGTATAATTATTATACAATCTTTCATTTTAGAGTTATTTATAACCCTATAAATAGGGTCTTTTACTTTGTAATAAAAATACGCTTATTATATACAATTTATAATATTCTTTACATGGTATCAGTGCAGTTTCGATCCTAAACAAATTAACATTTGAATTTCATTTTCGGCGAGTGGCCTTGAGTCGCTCGTTCGGCTACCAATGTTTTTTCTTTTCGGATGTATCCTTTTGGTTTAATATATGTCCAGTTCATCTGGAATTTGGTCCAATTCATTTGGAATTTGATTTGGTGTTGGTTAGGTGTATCTAGAATTTGAAATTTGCATCCAATTTATTTGGTATTTGTTGAGCTGGAATTTGAAATTTGCGTCCAGTTCATTTGATATTTGTCGAACTGGAATTTGAAATTTACAATTCTTTGTTTAGTAGTGGATGCGTTGCTTACTTGCAAATATGGACGTTCCTTCTTCCTTTCAAACCCGTATTGAGATTGACTATCATCTGATTTCTCCTTCAAGTCTTCTGCTGATTTTGTTAGATTGGTGGATGATGATTTTTCATTATCATCAACTTTGAGTTATTTGTTTGGCTTAATTGACATACAAACAATTTTGAAGATTTGATTTGATCGATTTATCTTTTAAACTCAATTTGATTGCTGCTACACCATATTGAATTTGAGGGATGATGTTGAAGATATTGAAATAATCTCTATGATATTTTTTCAATAGTGTAGGATTATTTTACTTAATAGTTGATTGTATAATTATTATACAATATTTCCTTTTAGAGTTATTTATAGTCTTCTATATATGGTCTTTTACTTTGTAATAAAACAAGTTTATTATATACAATTTATAATATTTTTCATAGGTTTGAATGAGATTTTGATTGGGAGTGAGGTTGTCGGGGTGGGACTTTCAATTTAAATTTATAATATTATTATTTTATATTAGAAAATTAAATTATCACCTGATTTTTGTATAAACAAACATTAAACTTAATTTTTGAAATTGAAACTTAAAAGACGAATGTAATGTATTAATAGGGAAAAAACCCAAATAAAACATTATTATTAAATAATGAAATGAAATTTTAGTCTTGGCTAGTGTCATGCAATCAAAATCATGACAAAGCGATAGGACCCATAATTTTTTGCTAAATGAAGTTAGCATAGATTAATGTGTACAAATGAAGAGATCATAACAACATTATTTTGTAGGGTTTGTTCTCGAAGTTGAGAGATGGATGGATACAAGTGGAGAGTATGAAAATCATCTAATTAATTAAGCAAAAGCAGAGTGGAAAGTTAAGTAACTTTTTTCTTGCCAAAAGTCAAATAGGCCCATCAATTATAATGATATCTTCACCGCCGAATACAAATATGTAGATTTGCAAACAAGATTTCATCATCATCTTTCTTGTTTTCTTCATTCTATGGGGCAAAAAGAACTAAAAAATTGTCACAAGATAATTGTATATTCATCGTGTTTTATACACATTAATATTAACACACACACACTATATATATATATACAGAAATGATCTAATGAGCACCGGTGCTCATCTTATCCTAAACACCAATGAGTTGGCACATTAATTCATTGGTGGATTGGAACTCACAAAATCTTTATCCACCAATGAATTAATGTGCCAACTCAT